CACCAAAGAGAAAGAAGATGCTGAAAGCTTCATGAGGAGAAATGGAAATCAACCACAAAGACTGGCAGATGCTTTTATTCTTTCTTTCTTTTTTTTAAAATCTTTAAGTCAAGCCTCCAAAGTTACGGAAGAAAATGGGTGTCCAGCCAATGAGCCAAGTGTGAGAACAGAAAAAGTCATTTTCAGGCAAGCAACGACTTGCAATTTACCTCATAGCTTCTCGTGACAATATATTTGGCCATACACTGCCACAAAACTAGAAAGAAGGCTGAGAAAGATGACACAGAATCTAAGAAAGAAAGGCATTACCCTGGCACACAGTGCAAAATTCTACCAGGACAGTGGTTTAGCACGATGACAGAGCCAGCGCTCCTGTTAGCTTTCAAAGAATGTGCTGAAGAGCTGGTTTTTCAGGGGGAAAAGTGGATTCCTGGGATAACAGTATAATTAGGAAGCTGGTAACCTTGGAGACTGGGTAAAGGCTTATGTTTTTGTTAAGAAGAGGCTAACTGGGTTGCAGGGGAAAAAAACCAGAAGCTGTGGAAGAAAGCCTTAGTCAAATTAAAGCAATCAAGATGGGTTCCGCTGAACAATTCACCAGTGTAATAGGAGGTTCCAGTGCGTCTTGATATTCAAGACATTTTCAGTTGGGGGACACATTTTCAAGGATATAAAGTAACATTTTCTCTTGCAGACTGATCACAATTTTATTACATTGTAAATTTTATAGGGTCATATTGTAAATCCTATTTATTGATCTATTATTTAGACTCAGCCTAGCACAGGGAAAACACAGAAACATAAATCTAATAAATATTAACAATGAGAAGCAAACAGGAGGTGAGATGAGAAGTGAAAGTCCATTTCACCACCATTTATATTAGTAAGTTTTCCTTTTTTTTTTTTTTTTTTTTTGAGACAGGGTCTCACTCTGTTGCCCAGGCTGGAGTGCAGTGGCAAAGTCTTGGCTCACTGCAGCCTCCACCTCCCAGGTTCAAGCAATTTTACTGCCTCAGCCTCCCTAGTAGCTGGGATTACAGACATGTACATCGTGCCTAATTTTTGCATTTTTAATAGAAAGGGTTTCACCATGTTGACCAGGCTGATCTTGAACTCCTCACCTCAGATGATCCACCCGCCTTAGCCTCCCAAAGTGTTGAGATTACAGGCATGAGCCACCATGCCCAGCCTATGTTAGTAAGTTAATAGACATTGTCCCAAAATACACTTGAGTCTCTATTATTTTGCTTTTGAGTGCTAACTAGTAAAAGCTAAAATCAGAAATTATCAAAGTTGTGGCTACAGGGGACTGGAGACTGAGGCTGAACGTTGAGGTGAATAGGAGACCTACTCTCATTCCCCCCAATTTATTCTTATTCTTTAATAAGAATTGGCTTTGGGGGGTGTACAGTGCTATATACATTTTAACATTATCTTGATTCATAAATACTGTTACAATCAGAATACGTGGACCCCAAAATTGTGCTACCCCATTGTCAAACCTTTCCTCCACTCCTCACCCATGACAACCACTAATGTGTTCTGTGTCCCTGGAGTTTTTGGCTTTCTGAGAATGGAATGTAAATGGAATTATACATTGTTGTGTCAATGTCACTTTTTTGGGGAGTGGGACTGGGGAAAAAGACAATTTCCACTTTTAAACACAGAGCCACGGCAGAGGGAACCAGTGAGCTGACCTCCCTTCCCCTTCTCCACCTCTCCAATCATAGGTGTGAGAAACGGAACTCCAGCCCAGGGCAGGACCAGCCCCTCCTCACACCCTCAATGTTTAATAAATAAAAGCATGTAACTTTTTGAGGCTGGCTTCTTTCAAAGCACAATTCATTTGAAATGCATTCACATGGCTGTGAGTATCAAGTTTGTTCCCTTTTTGCTGAGTGGTGGATGTTTATGCATCCCCGGACATTTGGGTGATTTCCAATCTTTGGTGATTGTGAATAGAGGTTCTATAAACATTCATCTGCAGGTTTTTACGGGAACACAGGTTTCCAGTTCTCTAGGGTAAATATCTAGGAGTGGGATGGCTGGGTCACAAGGTGAATGAATGTGTGTTTACCTTTATAAGAAACTGCCAAACTGTTTTTCAGTGGGGCGACACCATCTTGTCCTCCCACCAGCAATGCAAAGGAGTTCCAGGTGCCCTGCCTCCTCACCAACACTTGGTATCGGCAGGGTAAAAACAATTATTACCGCCACCTGATAGGTGTGTTATGATAACGCATTGTGGTCTTAATTTATAGTTCCTTTAAGAGCAGTGCTATTGTTGATGTGCTTATTCGTCGTGTGTGTCTATCTCCTTTGGTGACATGTCCAAATCGTTTGCTTTTTAATTGGGTTATTTAAAATTAAATTTAAAGTATACAAATTTGAGGTGAAAGAAGCCAGCCTCAAAACGTTGCACACTGTCTAATTCTATTTACATTGAGTTTTTAGAGTACTTTACATATTCTGGATACAAGTTCTTTGTCAGATATATGATTTCTAAATATTTTCTCCCAGTTTGTAGTGAATCTTTTCATTCTCTTCAGAGTGACAATGGCTGGGTGCATGTATTCACATTTGTATTTAAATCTTAGTGTAGGCCCCGTGCAGTGGCTCATGCCTGTAAACCCAGCATTTTGGGAGGCAGGGGTGGGAGGATTGTTTGAGCTCAGGAGTTTGAGACCAGCATGGGCAACAGAGTGAGACCCCATCTCCACCAAAAGTGAAAATTAGCTGGGTGTGGTGGTATGCCCCTTTAGTCCCAGCTACTTGGGAGGATGAGGCAGAAGGATCACTTGATCCCAGGAAGATGAGGCTGCAGTGAGCTGTGACTCACCACCACACTCCAGCCTTGGCAGCAGAGCAAGACCCTGTCTCCAAAAAAAAAAAAAAAAAAAAAAGTGACATTGACAGAACAAATGTTTCTAGTTTTGGTGAACTCTATCAGGTTTTTTCTTCTATAGATTGTATTTTTGGGGTCATATCCAAGAACCCAAGGTCATAAGAGTTTATGTTTCTTGTATATATTTTATAGTTTTATATTTTACTTATAGATCTATGATGTATTTTGACTTAATTTTCATATAAGATGTGTAAGAATTTAACAGAATTTTTATATATGAATTGTGCATAAGATCTGAGGTTTAGGTCAAATTCATTTCTTACATATGAATGTTCAAATGTTTCAACACTGTTGAAAAGACTTCCCTTAATCCATTGAACTGTTTTTGCACCTTTGACAAAAATCAGTTGATGGGGTCTATTTCTGGATTATTCATTCATCTGTGGGTCTAATTATTTGCCAATACCACTTTGTCTCCGTTTTTTCTGTTTTTTTTTTTTGAGACGGAGTCTCGCTCTATGGCCAGGCTGGAGTGCAGTGGCACGATCTTGGCTCACTGCAACCTCCTCCTCCTGGGTTCAAATAATTCTCCTGTCTCAGCCACCCGATTAGCTGGGACTATAGGTGCATGCCACCTTGCCCAGCTAATTTCTGTAGTTTTAGTAGAGATGGGGGTTCACCATAGTTGGCCAGGACGGTCTTGATCTCTTGACCTCGTGAACTGCCTGCCTCGGCCTCCCAAAGTGTTGGGATTACAGGCGTGAGCCACTGCGCCGGCCTACTTTGTCTTCATTACTGTAATTTTATAGTAAGTTTTTAAAACTAGTGACTCACTGAATTCTTTTTCAAAATTATTTGAGCTATTCTTAGTTCCTTTGCCTTTTCATATAAATTTTAGGAGCAGCTTGTTGATACCCATGATTTGGATAGGAATGGCAATAACAAACCTACAGGTCAACTTGGGGGAGGATTGACATCGTTACTATGTAAATCTTCTGATCAATGAACACAGCTGTCTCTCCATTTATTTAGCTTTTCATTAATTTCTTTCATAAGCAATTTTGTGGTTTTCACTACTGAAACTCTGCATGTTTTGTTAGATTTATAAGTATTTCATATTTTGCGGGGGGAAGGGAGATAGGAGACTGTATACATGAAATGGTTGTAAAATTTCAGATTCCAACTCTTCATTGCTAGTACATTGAATTGTGGTGGATTTTTGTTTTGTTTTTACCCTTGTATCCTGTGAATTTTCTATATTAACTTATTGATTCTATGAGCTGCTTTTGGTAGAGTCCTGGGGACTTTCTATATAGACAATTGTCATCTATGAGTAGAAATTTCTCTCTCTCTCTCTTTTTCTTTCTTTCTTGAGATAAGGTCCCATTCTGTCACCCAGGCTGAAGTGCAGTGATGGGATCACGGCTCACTGCAGCCTCAACCTCCCCAAGCTCAGGTGATCCTCCCACCTGAACCTCCCAAGTGGCTGGGATTACAGGCACACACCACCATACTCAGCTAATTTTTGTATTTTTAGTAGAGACAGGATTTCACCATTTTAGCTAGGCTTATCTCAAACTCCTGGGCTCAAGAGATCTGCTGCCTCGGCCTCCCAAAGTGCTGGGATTACAGGTATGAGCCACCACACCCAGCCAATTGGAAATACTTTCATTTCTTCCTTTCCAATCTAGATGCTTTTACTTTTTTTTCTTATATCTTTGCTCTTGCAACCAGAGGATGTTTAACAGGAGTGGGGAGAGTGGAAAAATCTTACCTTGTTCTTGATCTCAGTGGAGAGCTTTTACACTTTCACCATGAAGTATGTTAGCTCGAGTTTTTGTAGATGTTCTTTTTCAGGGTAAGGAAGTTCCCTTCTATTCCCACTTTGCTGAGAGTTTTTGTCATGAATCGATGCTGAATTTTAACAAGTGCTTTTTCTTTATCAATTGATAAGATGATGTAGCTTTTCCTCTTTAATTCATTAAGATAATGGGTTACACAGATTGATCTTTTTAGAATATTGAGCCAGCCTTACATTCTTGGGACAAACCTGATAATCTCAGTTTATATCCTTGTTACATTTGGACTTTATTATGGGTATGCATTACTTCCATAAGAGGCTGATAAAACTTAAATTTTAAAGAAATATACATACCTGATTCCATTTTCTCCTTTTTCTGGCTTCTCATTAAGGCCATCCTTTACCTGAGAGAGAAAACAGTAATATAAAAATATTTTCAAAATCATATTCATTAGAATGAGTTCAGAGGACTATTTCAGTCTTTGAGAAGGCGGTATGGACACTTATCCTAGGAACTAAGGACATGATTATATCAGAAGGGCTCTGGAGGTTGGGCACAGTAGCTCATGCCTATAATCTCAGCACTTTGGGAGGCTCAGGGAGGAGGATCACTTGAGCTTAGGAGTTTTGAGGCCAGCCTGGGAGACGTAGTGAGACCTCGCCTCTATTAGAAATTAGCCATGTGTGGTGGTGCACACTTGTAGTTCTAGCTATTCAGGAAGCTGAGGTGGGAGGGAGAATCATTTGTTGAAAATGATTCTTGAGCCTGGGAGGTCGAGGTGGCAGTAAGCTGGGATCATGTCACTGCACTCCAGATGGGGCAATAGGGGGAGATAGTGTCTCAAAAAAAAAAAGAAAGAAAGAAAAAAGAAAAGAAAAAGAAAGAAAGAAGGAAGGAAGGAAGGAAGGAAGGAAGGAAGGAAAGAAAGAGAAAGAAAGAAAGAGAGAAAGAAAGAAAGAAAGAAAGAAGGAAGGAAGGAAGGAAGGAAAGAAAGAAGGAAGGAAGGAAGGAAGGAAGGAAGGAAGGAAGGAAGGAAGGAAGGAAGGAAGGAAGGAAGGAAGGAAGGAAGGAAAAGAAGGTTTCTGGAACAGGCATGGTGGTTTGTCCCTGAAATCCTGGTGTGTTGGGAGAATCTCTTGGGTCTAAGAGTTTGAGACCAGCCTAGGCAGCATAGTGAGATCCCACTGAAAGTGACAGAAAGAAAGAAGAGAAGAAAGAGAAATCAAAGGAAGGAAGGAAGGAGAGAAGGAAGGAGAGAAGCGTAGAGATGAAAAGAAAGAAAGGAACAAAGAAGAAGAAAGTTCCATTTCTTCAGCCCTGATTTTCTTTAAAGCTAACAGGAGCCTCTACAATTTTTGATCATTGGTTGCCAGTGCTTCCACAGAACACTGCTCTTCAAAACTTGAAGCAAGCCACTCAGCAGCTGCCTGATTAAGCCAATGGTCAACAGTCTCAATTCCACACTGCAGTTCTGTAGAAGCTCACTTAAATGGACTTCACAGAATGTCCACAACTCCTTCAGTTAGCTCAACTATACCTTCATAGCTGCTGCTTCTTTTTGAGACAGGGTCTTGCTCTGTCACCCAGACTGGAGCACAGTGGCACAAACATGGCTCACTGCAGCCTCCACCTCCTGGGCTCAGGCAGTCCTCCTGCCACAGTCTCCCAAGTAGCTGGGACTACAGGCATGCACCACCACACTCTGCTAATTTTTAAAAGTTTTGTAGAGACAGGGGTCTCATGATGCTGTCCAGGCTAGACTTCATATCTTTTTATGTGCAAATGGCATATCTAGATCTCTATACTTTCTCATCAAATATTTTCAAATAGCGTTTTATTGTTTTTACATGGTAGACATATTTTTTCAGAGACTACTCTAAATTTCTATTTAGCGCACATTTTAAAATTCAGTGCAATTAAATATATATTTAAAGCTATCTGAAAAAGTCCCTGAGAATTCACATATGTACTGTGTGACTTCTGCACACACATGCACGTACATCCATGCACAGACCCCATACAATGTTCAGAAGTTGTCTTTTAAAAAATTTCAGTTAATATTAACTTTTCCTATCCGCCAGTCATACTTTTATTGGAAGCCTGACTGGTATTCTTGTGTTCCAGAAGAAGGAAGAAATTGAGGATGATCTAATATAATACTATACGGGAGTAGAACAAAGTCACACCATAAAAAGCTGGGCCTCCAACATCACAAACAGCTAAGAGTCAGCTGTAGCCATTCACACACTTACCACCTGGTAGTGACTGGGGGCCCACACTAGAAGTGTGTGGCGCTGGCCCTGCTCAAAGTTGTCAGTTACAGCAGTGACTGGTGATCCAGGAAAAGACATGTTTATGCTTGTCAGTGTGTTTACATCAAAAGTCATAAATCCATTTGTCTAGAGCGGGAGAGAAAGGGGCGTAGTTAATACCACAGAGTCTTGGCACTGTGCAACTCAACACGGAAACAGCAGTTGTCTGACATTCCACATTTCCACTTTCATGTTCACAGGTATCTAAAAATGCCTGTGGGGAGTTGGCATTTATTTGCCTCTGTTTCCCACCCACCCTTACAGACTCCGTCATGAAGTTTTTAGTGCCACCACAGGAATGATACTTTTCACCAAGCATCTTACTTTTATTTTGATTTTACAAAAATTAATACTATAATAACAATTTCTACTGGTAGGCAAAGAGTAGCAACCGGGCAAAAGCAGCAGGCCTGGTGAAAATCAGTACTGAAGTGCTCCAAGCATTAGGAATTGACTTTTTTTTTTTTCCCTTTAAGGTTATTAGTTTGGCAAGGTCTAAGGTTGTGGTGATCAACCATGGCTAAACAGGAATGAGACTGGCTAAATCAAAATCTCTGGGACTGGGGCTAGGCATGGTGGCTCATACCTGTAATCCCAACACTTTGGGAGGCTGAGGTAGGTGGATCTCTTGAGGCCAGGAGTTTGAGGCCAGCCTGGCCAACATGGTAAAACCCCGTCTCTACTAAAAGTACAAAAATTAGCTGGGCATGGTGGCACATGCCTGTGGTCCCAGCCGCATGGGAGGCTGAGGCAAGAGAATCGCTTGAATCCAGGAGGCAGAGGTTGCAGTGAGCTGAGATTGCACCACTGCACTCCCGCCTGGTGACAGAGCGAGACTCCATCTCAAAAAAAAAACCAAAAAACAACAACAACAAAAAATTAGTTGGATGTGGTGGCTCATGCCTGTAATCCCAGCTACTTAGGTGGCTAAGGCATGAGAATCACTTGAACCCAGGAGGCAGAGTTTGCAGTGAGCCAAGATAGTGCCACTGCACCTCAGCCTGGGTGACAGAGTGAGGCTCTATATTAAAAAAAATAAAAAATATCTTGGGGTGGGACCCAAATATTAAAATTTTCAAAGCTCTCCAGGTGAGTCCAATATGGACTGGAGGTTGAGAACCATGAATCCAGAACAAGGGCGATCTAGAGCACAGTTTTCCATCCTTGGCACCATTACCATGTGGGCCAGGTGATCTTTGTTATGGAGAGCTGTATGTTAGCATCCCTGGCTTCTACATGAGACGCCAGCAGCATACTCCCAGTTGCTACAACAAAAAGTATCTCCGGAGATTGCCAAATGTCCCCTGGCATCAAAATCGCCCCCACTTTACATCTGATCTGGTGGTTCCAGGCTCCAGGAGCAGCAGCAGCATTCCTGAGAGCTAATTAAATGCAGCATTTCAGGCCTGCTGATTAAGAATCTGCATTTTGGCTGGGTGTGGTGACTCATGTCTTTAATACCAGCATTTTGGGAGGCTGAGGCGGGTGGATTGCCTGAGGTCAGGAGTTCAAGATCAGCCTGGGCAATGTGGTGAAACCCCATCTCTTCTAAAAATACAAAAATTAGCTGGGCATGGTGGTGCACACCTGTAATCCCAGCTACTTGAGAGGCTGAGGCAGAAGAATAGCTTGAACCTGGGAGGCAGAGGCTGCAGTGAGCCGAGATCATGCCATTGCTCTCCAGCCTGGGTGACAGAGCAAGACTCTGTCTCAAAAAAAAAAGAAAGAAAGAAAGAAAAAAGAAAAAAAGTAGAATCTGCATTTTAACCAGCTCCCTGGGTGATCTGCTACACAGCACATGTGGAGCACACTGGTTTAGGGCATAGCCAACATGAGATCAAGAGCCTTAGTTCACTTCTGGACTGGCCCTGGGATTTATACACAGACCAAGAACAACAGCTTCTCTAAATCCTATTATAACCGGGGTGAGAAGATGAAAAAGAAGGCAGCATTTCCTTCTACTTACTTGAGACATTGGGTCAAGTGGCACTATCTCTCCAGGAAGAGATACACTCATGTTACTGTTTCCTATATTCAAAACTTTAATTTGGACTTCGTTTCCATTGGGGAATACTGGAAGAGTTTTCTGAGCAAAATAAAATAAAATTGGCAGTGAGGTCTTCAATACAACATGGAAAATAATCTTAACCCTGGCATGGGAGCACTTTCCCCAGCTGTGTAAAGCTCTGCTGGCTGAGACACACCAGGCATCCCCGACTAAGCTGCCCATCACAGACCTCATGACACCCACAGAAATGACTTTTGTACAGAATATTGCAGTGATACGGTTTGGCTGTGTCCCCACCCAAATCTCATCTTGAATTGTAGCTCCCATAATTCCCAGGTGTTGCAGGAGGGAATCAGTGGGAGATAACTGAAACACGGGGGCGGTTCCCCATACTGTTCTCTTGGTAGTGAATACGTCTCACAAGATCTGATGGTTTTATAAGGCGAAATCCCTTTTGCTGGCCCTCATTCTGTTTTTGCCTGCTGCCATGCAAGACGTGCCTTTCACCTTCTGCCATGATTCTGAGGCTTCCCCAACCATGTGGACCTATGAGTCCATTAAACCTCTTTTTCTTCATAAATTACCCAGTCTCGGGTATGTCTTTATCAGCAGTGTGAGAATGGACTAATACAGGAAGGAATCAGAAGATGCTGCTCTCAGTCTTCTCTAGCCACCTCCAGGCCAAGGGATGCCAGGATACGAAGCCGAATATCTGAGGGCCCCGAGTCACTATAATCTAAACGAATATCCCTCTTGTCACAACATCTGAGATCTACCATCCTCCGACTCCAGTGTCCTCCTGTGAGTCTGGAAGCCCAGTCCCCAGCCCTAGATGCAGCCCTGTACACAGCTCACAAATGCCTTATGCCCTCCTGCCTCCAAACCTTTGTTCAGAGTTTTTGTCTTTTTTTCTACAATGCCCTCTTTCAAAACCCAGTGTCACTGAAGCAATCCGGGTCCACCTTAGCCCGAAATTCATCTTTCACAAAGCTGGCTGTGTCCAAGAGGAGCATGAGTATACCCACGATCACAGGGGCCCTATTTGCAATAGCCAAAAGGCGCAGGCAACCCAGGGGCCTGTCGGGGGGAAGGGATGAACAGTGTGGTGTATACACACAATGGGATGGTATTTGGTTTTACAAAGGAAGGAAATTCTGACACAGGCTGCAACAGGAAGAACCCTGAAGACAATGTGCTAAGTGAAATTAGCCAGTCACAGGACAAATACCATATAAGGCCACTCATAGGAGATGCTAGAGTAGTCAGATTCACAGAGTCAGAAAGTCAGATTCATAGAGTCAGAAAGTCAGATTCACAGAGTCAAAAAGTCAGATTCATAGAGCCAGAAAGCAGAACGGGGTTGATGGGGCTGGGGAGGGGGAGATGGAAGTTGTTTAATAGGCACAGAATTTCAGTTCTGTAAGATGAAGAGTTCTGGAGATTGCACAACAATGGAGATGTACTTAACGCTACTGAATTTTACACATAAAAATGACTGCTATGTGGCGGGGCATGGGGGCTCATGTCTGCAATCCCAGTACGCTGGAAGGCTGAGGTGGGAGGATTGTTTACCAGCCCAGGCAACATAGTGGGACCCCATCTCTACAAAAAATTTTTAAAATTTAGTGGAGTGCAGTGGTGCATGCCTATAGTCCCAGCTACTCGGGAGACCGAGGTGGGAGGATCGCTTGAGCCCAGGAGGCTGTGGCTCCATTGAGTGTGACTACACCACTGCACTCCAGCAGCCTGGGCGACAGAGTGAGAGCCCGTTCCAAAAAAAAAAAAAAAAAGGAAGAAGAATGTGGTAAACATCATGTTATATATATTTGCCATAATTAATTTTTTTTACATTTAAAGATATTAAAGAGCTGCTCTGCCTAGGGAGTAGCCATTCTTCATTCCTCTACTTTCTCAATAAACTTCCTTTCACTTAAAAATATAAATAAAGATATTAAAAAAGAGAGAGAGAAGGAGGGAAGGAACGAGAGAAAGAGAGAGAGAGAGAAAAAGGCGAAGAGAGGGAGGAAGTGGTGGCGGGTGGTGGGGAGAGGGAGGAGGCTCTTTCCCATCACACGGCCCTGTTTCTAGGAGCTGCTCTCAGACTGCCAGCACTGGGAGTCTAGCTGAGCCCACTGTGAGTCCAACAGATGTGTGTGCTTTAGCTTAGAAACTACTCATTTTTAGAAACACTAGAACAAAATGCATTCTCACATCAAAAAGACAATTTACACACATTTGAGATGTCACTTGTTTGTGAATGTTGACCTTCTTTTAACCAGATCTCCTAGGAGTTCAGATGGTGAAGAAACATGTTCTGTAAACTTCTTTTCCATCATAAAAACTGTATGATAAATGCAATCTACTTATGTCAGCTTTTCCCCCAGCTGAAGCCCATCCACTTTACCCTCACATCCATAGTGCCTCCCGCGGCTCGAAGCTCCAGGGCTCAGTTTACAGAGAAAGACCTTGGCCTCCCCTAATCCCCTTCATCCTGGAGAAAGAAGATTCCGAACGCTCCACCTACATGCACTGGGAAAGGACACAGGAGAAGCATAGGGCAACTCACATCAATTTCCACCTGAACGATGGCAGCCACCACAAAGGCCATGGACGCCAGGAACATGCCAACAGTCATCTTCTTCAGGGAGCTGATGGGGCAAGAGAAGGGTGGCTCTCAACCAGTCCCACATAGATGAGCCAAGCTAAACCCCGCCCCCGTCATCCCTCAACAAAACTAAATTCCCTCCAAAAACACATGGGCTTCAAAGCACCTCTCCCTCTCTTGGTCATGGATTCATGACCACGACCAAGACCAAGGAAGATAAATGGAATATAGCTTCTTGTTCTTGTTTTGCTTATTTATTTATTTATTATTATTATTTTTAGACGGAGTCTTTCTCTGTCATCTAGGCTGGAGTGCAGTGGCACAATCTCGGCTCACCACAATCTCTGCCTCCCAGGTTCAAGTAATCCTCGTGCCTCAGCCTCCTGAGTAGCTGGGATTACAGGCAACTGTCACCATGCCGGCTACTTTCTTGTGTTTTTAGTAGATATAGGGATTTCCCCTGTTGTCTAGGCTGGTCTTGAACTCCTGACCTCAAGCGGTCTACCTGCCTTGGCCTCCCAAAGTGCTGGAATTACAGGTGTGAGCCACTGTGCCTGGCCTGTATATTTACTTTTAATTTCTGGAAGCTATAGTTTAGGTGATACTCCAGATTACAAAGGCCATTCCTATCATCTGCATACAGAAGAAAGCCTTGATTAAAGGCCTTTTCAGGCTGTCATTCACAGCATTTTTATTTTAAAGAACATTTTCAGAAACATCAGCACACGAACATTTATTTACTTCATTCTTCAAAACCCCATCCTCTAGGTGAGGTTGTGGGAGGGGCTGCAGGCTGAGCGCAGCCCATCTGCAAAGCCCTGGCACCAAAGGAGCCTCCACCAACGCAGCCCACCCGTCACCTACGTGAAATTGAAGCCGCATTTTGCAATCAGAGGGTACAGCACAACATCAAAGACAGGGACCATGATCACGATCAGGATGGCGTTCACAGTCTGCAGAGGAAGTGGAGGTGAAAGGTTAAGCTTGTCTCAAAGACGACTGTGACCCTGAAAGCAACTTACACGTCCTCTCCTACCTGCATCTGATCAGGCTGAATTTCCATAGTTCCCTAAGAAGAGAGGAAAAACATCTCACTGAAAAATGCCATGAAAGGGAAGAAGAAAGGGAACAAAAAAACTAAAACGAAGGAATAGTGACCGGGAAGATCAAGTGTCTCCACTTCCCAAACTTACGATTCTCCCCGACATGGTTGTTGCTTGCAGCGTCCACCTGGAGCCCTTAAAAATGAAGACGTTTGCTGTATTATTTGGAAATGTGGGTTTTAAAATTTTTACAAGTCCATGGTGAGTCTTTTCCAAATCAGGAATGAGGTCTGACATGTTACGGGATTTTTGTTTGTTTTTGAGACGGAGTCTTGCTCTGTTGCCCAGGCTGGAGTGCAGTGGTGCGATCTCGGCTCCCTGCAACCTCTGCCTCCCAGGTTCAAGCGATTCTCCTGCCTCAGCCTCCTGAGCAGCTGGGACTACAGGCGCGTGCCATCACGCCCGGCTAATTTTTGTATTTTTAGTAGAGATGAGGTTTCACCATATTGGCCAGGCTGATCTCGAACTCCTGACCTCATGATCCACCCATCTCGGCCTCCCAAAGTGCTGAGATTACAGGCGTGAGCCACTACGCTGGCCATGTTATAGGATTCAATGTTGTTTTAAACATCAAGTTAGTCTCCCAGCTCTACTATGATGCTAGGTCAAAAGAAACAGGTTGTATTTCTAGTGTATAAGTGAACATGATATAGAGTACTCCAGCCCCTCAGAAGCTGCACAAAGCACTACCCCGAGATGAAGCTATCCCTAGGAAATACAAAACTGCATTTCCGAGGCTTGTTGGAAAGCACGGTGTCATCTGCAAGGTGAAAGCAGCTGTGTACCCTGCAGGCGGTCCATATTCACTGGCATCCAAGATTCAAAAAATGTTGTTATTGTTAACAGCCATTTTGACAGTCTAGGCTGGCCCCAAATAGATCTCCTGCAAGAGAGTAGTGGATTTAAATCTGGGCAGCCCTGCTATGGTCAACCTATTTCACAGTGAAAGATGACTCAGGACTGTACAAGTAAATATGATTATGTCCATGGAAGACTAAACATGTAAATGCTTTCATATGAATCCCTCAGCTCCACTAGAAAGACATCATAGAGAGTCAGGAAATTGGCCGGGCACGGCGGCTCATACCTGTAATTCCAGCACTTTGGGAGTCCGAGGTGTGTGGATCACCTGGGGTCAGAAGTTTGAGACCAGCCTGGCCAACATGGCAAAATCCCATCTCTACTAAAAATTGGCTAGGTGTGGTGGCAGGTGCCTGTAATCTCAGCTATGAAGAGGCTGAGGCAGGAGAATCGCTTGAACCTGGGAAGTGGAGGTTGCAGTGAGCCAAGATCGTTTCCCTGCACTCCAGCTTGGGTGACAGATCGAGACTCTGTATCAGAAAAAAAAAAAGAAAAAGAAAAAAAAAAAAAAAAAAAAAAAAGAAAAAAGAAAAAAAAGAACTCTACCCCTGTTCGAGTTCTTCCTACAGGCCAGTCACTGAGTACCTTACGGATGTTCTCACACTGGACCTTCACAGCCTTGAGGCAGGTGATTAGCACTCTTTCGGAAGAGTTAAGAGTTCCTACAGCCACCCAAGTGTCACAGCTGCCAGGGGAGAGGTGCGTTTCCAGTGCAAGCCTCATCCCAGTGCCCGGCTCCTGCCCCGCAGGCAGCGCTGCCTCCCACGTTTGTCGGATCCCTTCTCAATCTCCTACTTAGAAATGAGGAGATGCGTGTGTGCACTTACATTTGTCCCATGCAACGGTTTACCCCTATCGTCATCCTCCCTGCACAAACCATGTGTGTTCATTGACTTTTTTAAACTCCAGTTCCTAAGAGAAACAATATCTATGTTTTTGTTCTGTAAATGAGGACTGATCTTTAAAAAGAAACAGTATCCAATTGCTTTAGTTTCCGAGCCTTATGCATTGAGTTCTTTAACAAGATTGTGAAGAATTCCTGGGAATGTGTCTTAGGGCTGTGGTAGAAAGAGACAACAGGTCACCTGCTGGGTTCTAGGTCCCTGCTCAGAGAGGAGTCATTTTCCACCCTAGGATGGCACTTCTAGCCCGAGGACTCCATCTTAGAGTGGAAGACATCAAGTACCTCTCCATTTATGTGTGGACCCCATTAAAAGGCAACCTATCTTGTTACCACGCTGTATTGGTAGGAAAACAAACTCTTTACCCTCAGTTTTCATTGGCAAGAGTCCTGGATGAAATATTTCCCAAGGCTACTTGACTTGACCTCACCTAATCGTCTTCATTATTTAGCAAGAGAAATGTGGATAGAACCATCTGGAATTGCTGTTTTTTGTTTTTGTTGTTGTTGTTTTTTACAATAAACTGAATGTGTTCTAACAATTAAATAAGTGAAATATAAATAAGAAACTGGAAAAGAGCTTTTTAGGTGTGAAATACGAAGTGAGCCTTGGAACCTGGCAGTGCGGATGTACGCTTGCTAAATGAAGCGGAACGGAAGCAGAGTTTCACATTACCTGCTGGTCAAACAAGGCCCAGAACATTGGGAGTGGAATATACAGGAACATCACCCTCGTGACCATCTTAATTTGGGAGATAAGCCGCTCCTGTAGTTGGAGTGGGGGAGGGACAAGTCAGCCACACCCTGTGTCCCGTGCCACTGGAGGCTTGCAGGCGCTGCCGAGTTTCAGTGGAGACACAGATATTTGCATCTAGAGACAAGCTGGGAGGTGATTAATCCAAAACATACTGCTGCAGTTTTCTTTAGAAAACTGAAAATGTCTAAGCTATCTAAAGTATGAGTGAAAACGTCTATTTAGGAGGTAAATCACTTGAATTTACTCACTGTAAATCCCACCACAGCCGTCACCACCGCTGGACTCTCCTATATTCAAACTAAGGTTATGCGACCCCAATTACATATAATGAATGGCAGATTAGACTAAATGAAAAACTATTCAAAGGTAATATTGTTTCCAGACTAATTATATCCACTGTTTATCAAGTTCTTTCAATTTAAAAAATTCACTCATGCATAGCCTTGTCTAATATGCTATAAAGGTATAGCTGACCATTATGTCCATGTCACCTTTATGTGAATTGAGGTTCTGGGTGTTCACTTCCCGGGGGAATCGGGGTCATTGTGGCAATGACAGTTACTCACATCATATTTCTCCTTGGCCCAGTCCAGCCAGTGCTCCCTCTTGGGAAATGTCTTACTCCGATGCCTGAATCTATTTTTGATGGCAAACTGAAGGAAGGAAGAAAAATCAAATTTCAAAATGGGACCAACAACTTTTTCAGGGAAGCATATTTCAATTAAACTCCCTTTAGTAGAAAACTATGCTTATGAGAAAAGCAAAACATAAAATTGTATCTACTAGTATATGAACACTTATTTCTATTAATAGCGTCTTTCCAACTAAGAGCATCTGAGTTGGGGTGAACAGAGTCAAGCTGTGTCCAATTAACTCTCTAGATCCTTTAGAGAAGCATGCCCAGTAGAAATAGAACATGAGGCCGGGCCGGGGAGCTTACGCCTGTAATCCCAGCACTTTGGAGGCCAAGGTGGGTATGTCATGAGATGAGGAGATGGAGACCGTCTTGGCTAACATGGTGAAACCCCATCTCTACTACAATACAAAAAATTAGCTGGCATGGTGGCACACAACTGTAGTCCCAGCTACTCTGGGGAGGCTGAGGCAGGGGAATCACTTGAACCTGGGAGGGAGGTTGCAGTGAGCGGAGATCGTGCCACTGCACTCCAGCCTGGTGACAGAGCAAGACTCCATCTCAAAACAAAGAAAAAGAACTAGAACACAAGCCATGTTTGCAATTTAAGTTTTCTAGTAGCCATCTTAAAAAGTAAAAGTGAAACAGGTAAAATTCATTATACGTATATTTTATGTAACATGATAAACCCCACTGATTTTACTAGGTAATCAATATTTAAAAATTAATGAGAATTTTTACCTTCTTTCATATTAAGTCTTCCAAATCCAGAGAATATTTTATACTTATGACACAATTTCAATTTGTTTTTGAGACAGGGTGTTGCTCTGTCGCCTAGGCTGGAGTGCAGTAGCGCTGTCTTGGCTCACTGAAGCCTTGACCTCTGAGGCTCAAGTGATCCTCTCAGCTCAGCCTCCCAAGTAGTTGGGACCACAGGTATGTGCCACCATGCCTAGCTAATTTTTTGATTTTATTTTTAATAGAGATAGGGTTTTGCAATTTTGCCCAGGCTGGTCTTGAACTCCTGAGCTCAGGCTATCCGCCTGCCTTAGCTTCCCAAAGTGCTGGGATTACAGGTGTGAGCCGCCGTGCCCAGCCAGCATATCTTAATTTGGATGCTAGATTTTTGTCAGAAATATTTGATCTGCATTTAGGTTTCACAAAGTTTGTGTTTGAAAAACTAGATTTACACACTAAGTTGTTCCAAACATAGCCTTCCAATAACTGAACTGAGTATCAGTTTTTAAATTTAAGAGTAAGAACCCACTACAGAGAAACACATTTATTAACAAATTAAGGCTATAGGGAAATATACTTTAAAATATAATAACACAGGTCAGAAAAATACGATGACCCACCCATCATAAAATTAGAGGCCACAAAGATTCCTTGTTAGCATTATTTAGGAAAAAGCCTTCTGGGAGCAGCAAAGTGCATTTATAACAATACAGCAAGGGGTGATGCTGGTGGAGGCTGGAGGCATGAGTGTGATTGAAAGGCAGTAAATTGGCTGGGCATGGTGGCTCACATCTGTAATCCCAGCACTTTGGGAGGCTGAGGTGGGTGGAACACTTGAGGCTAGGAGTTCAAGACCAGCCTGGTCAACATAGCAAAACCCCATTTCTACTAAAAATACAAAACATTAGCCAGGCGTGGTGGCAGGCACCTGTAATCCCAGCTACTTGGGAGGCTGAGGCAGGAGAATCACTTAAACCCGGGAGGTGGAGGTTGCAGTTAGCCAAGATCATGCCACTGTACTCCAGCCTGGGCAACAGAATAAGATTTCATCTAAAAAAAGAAAGAAAGAAAGAAAGAAAGAAAGAAAGAAAGAAAGAAAGAAAGAAAGAAAGGAAGAAAATATAATAAATAATCTACAGGCCAGGTAAGATAAAGTAAGTGACCTAAAATTATCGTAAGGCTGCCTTTTCATCCAAAAGATTCACAGGTGATTTTTTTTAAGTAAGTGACATATTTACCTCTAGTTATACAACATATACAGTATGTTCACTAAAAAAATGGGGAGTGTATGAGAAAAACTATTTTATTCCATTATCTAAGGCTTCCTACTCTCAACATTCATTTCCTGCCCATAAATGTACCTGTATGTGCATATACTACAGAGGTGCTTATGGAAGGATCCACATTCTGCACATTTCTATCACCAGGTATTCTTTAAAAACAAGACTGCTGCCGGCTGCATGCTATGCAGAGATGAGCTGGAAGTTCAGCACCGTCTTCCTATTTGCAGCAATTTGGTGGGCTTACATTTTTGCTATTGTAAGTATTACAATGATAATCTTTGTATGTGAGTCTGTGTTCACTTTTTAAAATTATTTACTCTTTTTGTTTCTTTTTTTGTTAAAATTATTTTCTTACTCTAGTTTGTTTTGTTTTGTTTTGAGACAGTCTCCCTCTGTCACCCAGGCTGGGGTGCAGTGGTGCGATCTTGGCTCACCGTATCCTCTGCCTCCCAGGTTCAAGCGATTCTTGTGCCTCAGCCTACTGAGTAGCTGGGACTACAGGCACCCACCATCATGCCTGGTTAATTTTTTTATTTTTAGTAAAGACAGCGTTTTACCATGTTGACAAGGCTGGTCTCAAACTTCTGAGCTCAAGTGATCCACCCGCCTTGGCCGCCCAAAGTGCTGGGACTACAGGTGTGAGCTGCCCCGCCTGGCCAATTTTCTTACTCTTAATTCTTGAAAGCAGCATGACTAACTTGAAGCATCTGAACATTTGAGAGTCTTGCTACACATTGCCAAATTGAACCTCTCCATTTGTGATTCACTGCTCCCCAACAAACTTCAAGCGCTGTTCTTTGACAGGTGAAGATCTCTGACAGATGAAGAGTCACTTTGATTGGTTTTTCTTTGACCATCGATCTTATTTTATAAGCTCAAGAGCCATTTCTATTTCTCCCTTATTGACTTCTGTTTGTGTCTTTTACCATTTGGTGAATTTTTGAAGAAACTGCCAGTTATTGAAATAAAAACACTAAAAAAATATTTAAAAGAAAATCAAAGCTTAATTAAATTATAATTTAAAGGATGTAGAAGGTTCTGAGGTGGTTAAATGGGCTTGAGAAAGAGCAGCTGGGATACTTACACCGATGCACTTGACCACTTTGCCCATGATGTTGCCCTGTGGCTGGAACTTCTTGTACATGCCACTGCCAAGAATAAACACCACTAGATAGGGCAGAAAAAGACATGTCAGCAGGGCATGTGCCACAGCCACCTGTGGCCCAGAGAAACGTGCCTTTATTTGAGTTACAACTTTGTTTGGGGAATAACCAGATTACTTATGGAATGGGTTTAACTACCAACATCACTGTTTAGAAAGTGCTTTTAACTCTCACAATCACAAAATCCTCTGAGTAATGTTATATTTGTGTTCTAATATACAAACCTTTAAGCCTGATATAATCTACTTCCCATAACTTAAGGTAGCTCAAATACACTCACACAGTTTTTAAGCACAAGTTCTATCTCTATTCAAAGGGAGACAAAAGGAATCAGTGCTTTCGTATAACACATTAATGTATTATGTTACTAAGACAATAAATGGGGACAGGCTTGGTGGCTCACACCTGTAATCCCAGCACTTTGAGAGGCCGAGGCAGGCGGATCACTTGAGCTTAGGAGTTCGATACCAACCTGGCCAACATCACATGAAACCCTGTCTCTATTAAAATACCAAAGTTAGCTGGGCATGGTGGTGGGCACCTGTAATCCCAGCTACTTGGAGGCTAAGGCAGGAGAAATGCTTGAATCTGGGAGGTGAGGTGGCAGTGAGCTGAGATCATGTTACTGTACTCCAGCCTGGGTGAGAGAGTGAAACTCCGTCTCAAAAAAATAAAAATAAAAATAAACGGAGCTGTAATTTTCTGACTTCAATGGGAAGAGAGGCCTTTTTCTTTCTCTTTTATATTCAGGAAAAAAAAGAATTAATCATACGTGGCAGTAGTTTTTTTCTGTGGTCACTACAGAAGCAGTTACAATTAATTGCATCTGCAGCTACAGTTTTATAAAAGTTAGAAGCACCTTTTAATGGGGTCATTCTTCCATGGACCTTTTTGGCGAAAGTCATATTGTGAAAATAAATTAGATAAAAAGACATTCTGGGGATGAGTGTAGTGGCTCACGTCTGTAATCCCAGCACTTTGAGAGGCCAAGGCCGGAGGATCACTTGAAGCCAGTAGTTCAAGAGCAGCCTGGACAACATAGTGAGACCTTATGCTATCATCTTACCAAAAATTTTTTTAAAATTTAAAGCATTTTTGCAAGAGTCTCTGAAAACATAGTTCATATGCTAGGATTTCTGATTATTCAATACCACACTTAAATAATTCAAAAACACTGGTAGCTTGAATTCTACTTGTTTTTCTCAATTAAGAGGGCCTGAGACTTTTGACAGGTGCTAACTCCAAGTATGTGTCTATACTATCGATGTTCTTTATAGCTGATGAAGCGGATGTTTACTTATATTTTTGACCTATGTCAACCTCTCAATGCAGACGTGGATGGTAAAGAGATTGAGTCTATGTTTTCTTTTACCAAATAATATTTCATCTTTAAGCTCCTGATTACTTGAAACCTAATTCAAGCATAGGAATCTCTAGAGGTTGTATTGACATATCAGATTTGGCCTGTTCTCAATTCCTCCAGAAGAAAAAGCATAATCTTTGATAGAGGAATAACTTGTACAGATGAAGTAAAAATTTACCTAAAGTGCTTAATACAGTGTAAGAACCATGGAAGAAAAGAGACATATTAAAAACTGGAGAATACTGAGTGCTCACCTAAACAAAAGCAGAAAGCTAAACTGCTACAACATGAGCAAAAGACTTAAAATGGGCCTGCTCCATGCACTGCTAAGATCTGAGAACAAAAATTGGAGAGAGAGACGTGGTGGCCAGCTGAGCAAAGCTGATGACAAGCTCATGTGAGTGGGAGAAGGGGCTCTGAGGACTTGAGGGGGCCACTGGGCTGTTTTCTTCTTGCCCCGTTCTTGGCCACTTTTCACCTCCACCCATCCCATGGAGAAAAACCACATTTCCTAAAAGCCAATGCCAAGAATTAATGTGCAAATGAATGTCTCCAATAGACATGTATGTTCTGCCCAACAAGAAAGAATTCCAGCAGAAACATTTGGGGATATTAGTTTGGTGCAAAAGTTATTGCGGTTTTTGCCATTACTTTCAATGGCAAGAGCTGCAATGACTTTTGCACCAATCTGATTGACTATGGAAATGTAGACATTCATTGGAGTATTTCAATGTTTCAATGGCAACTGAGCCAGGTTGCCATTTCTTCAAGCAAGTTACAGATAAGTACATGCTGACAAGAACAAAAGCTTTTTAGCTTTGGGTTCAGCTAATCCAGCAGATTTCTCATCTTCATCTTTTTTTTCGTTTGTTTTTAAACAGGGTCCACTGTATGATCCAGGTTGAAGTGTTGTGGTGTGATCAGGGCTCACTGCAGCTCAAGCAATTCTCCCACTTAAGCTTCCAGAGTAGCTGGGACTACAGGTGTAAGCCACAGCACCCAGCTAATTAAAAAAAAAAAAAAAAATCGGCTGGGCATGGTGGCTCATGCCTGTAATCCTAGCACTTTGGGAGGCCAAGGCAGGTAAATCACTTGAGGTCAGGAACTCGAGACCAGCCTGGCCATCATGGTGAAACCCTGTCTCTACTAAAAACACAAACATTAGCTGGGTGTGGTGATACGTGCCTGTCCCAAGTAATCCCAGCTACTTGGGAGGCTGAGGCAGGAGAATTGCTTGAACCTGGGAGGCAGAAGTTGCAGTGAGCCCAAATCGTGCTATTGCACTCCAGCCTGGGTGACAAGAGCAAGACTCTTTAGAGATAACGTCTCTCTCTGTTGCCCAGGCTGGTCTTGAACTCAAGCAATCCCCTTGCCTTAGCCTCCCAAAGTGCTAGGGTTACGGCCATGAGTGAGCATGCCTGGCCTCTCTCACCTTCATCTTAATCTGCCTAAATAGTATCACACCTTTCAATGACCAACTCAGTTGGCTCCTTTTCCTGTAATCCTTTTTTTTGATCCTATTCACTCAGAAGTGATGTGCCAATCCTACTTTCTTTGAATAGTTAGAGTGTGTTTAACATCTGGTGCCAGTTATTCTCACTCCTTTTGGTTGCCACTTGTTACATGCACTTTAAAAAATTAGTCACAGTCATTCACGTAGGGGCTGACCTAGTCATAGGCTTATATCCATTCAACCAATTTCTACTTACTCAGGGCTACAGCCATGAGAGCAGCGGGAACCCCGAAGGCCAGTGGGTAACAAGCTTGTTTACTGTGGATTCCACACTGTTGAACTGGGGAGAAATGACAAGATTAAAATCCATGATGTCATTGGTAATGAGCGTATCTTCATATCTGGAAAGATCCCTCACTGATAGTTACATAGTGCTTTCACGTAGTGTTCTAGACGTATCCCTTTGCCTTACTGACATCATTGCCAGCTGAGTAAAGCAGCAGTGTAGCAGAAGATGGAAACCAGTTCTAATCTCAGCCCCTCAACAGATGGGTGATCCCGGCTTGGCCAAAATCAGTGGCCCCCTCTTGGTTCTGTGGATTTTCTTTGCGGGGGAGATAAAGATGGCCTGGATACACTAAGTTGATTATATGAGACTCAGTAAATCAAAAGTGCACTGGAAAATCAGTATCATATGTTCCTGAATTCGTGCCAATCAGGAAGCAGTTTGATGACCTAGACAGGGGTTGGCACACTTTTCTGTGAAGGGCCCAATAGTTAATATTTTAGGCTTTGTGAGCCATTGGTCTCTGTCAGCTACTCAACCCCACCTTTGAAATCAACTGTAGACAATACATAAATGAATGATCTTGCCCAGATTTCTGGATTCGGCCTCTGACTAACAGTTATTTTAGCTCTGAAATCCCAGGATTTGTTTTAAAAAAAAAATTTACACACACAGATACACACACACACACACACACACTAAATAAATAAATAAAAATTATATAAAAACTAAGCCTTTGTAAGGAGTCATAGAAATTCCCGGAAATCCTTTCCATGGAATGCTGGAGCCATCGGGAATGAGCTGGTGAGATCAGGGTTTTGATTTGGTTTAGCTATCTCGCAATCGGAGAGAAAGAAGTTAGCTAGCAGAAGTGACAGTCATGCAAATGTTTCCTGTTAGTAGCATGCAAAAATAATTTTCCCCTAGAAAGAACAGAAATGTGTTAGTCAAATCTTTGTTTGAACTGATTCGTTAGCAGCTAATTAACAAGTTACATAAATTTTTTTGTCACGCGTTCATTTTATATTTGTATGAGAGTAATGAATTTCCTTTTAAAAAGTTATCCTTTAACAGATTCTATAATTTAAACATGCACCCTCTAGTAGAACCTAGAGGTGAGAGAGGTGAGGGAACAGGACACAGAAATAAAAGCTATGACATTTTTATCTAAAACAAGTTAGAAAAAATAAAAAAACAAGCTGGAAGGGGGTTTAATTGTCCGTCATCCTCAAACACTATTCTATGCAGGAATACATAAATCCACCTGAAATCTTTATTTTATAATCTAATCTGATTCCAATGTGGACAGCATGGTCTTGTTAGTTTATCTTCAATGCCACCACATATTCCCTTCTACGTGGGAAATTCCCGGACTCTCAATAGAGCATTCGCAAACACAAACATGATAGCTACTGACACTGTCCCATTCTCTTTATCTGAAGAGTCAAGTATTATTTTGGAAATACTTGAGGTGATGGGAAAGCAAAGAATAAAACTTGGCCCAGTAAACTCTTCCTAAGTCATGGAAATATCATTGGGGAGCAAAGCTTGAAGCTAGAATGGCAGCTGCAGCCCACCAGGTTGGCTTCCAAGCCGCCTCTCTGGCCTCTTACCTCTTACCGTGAGCATGACATTGCATCAGTGACAGTTTAGGAAGATGGAGGCCCACACTAAGGATGGCTTAGACTCTCCAGCGGTCACTGGGATAAGGGGTTCAAATAAGATGAGAAAAGGAGGCGAAACGCACAGGAAAACAAGTGCTTACTCTGGATTCCAACGTGCATCCTAGCATGTGGCTGACAGCTAGAGGTCGGGGAGAAGGGAAGAACGGAACAAAACAATGGCGACACGGATTTAGCCTTACTGAAAAAAGACAGACAGACATTCCTTCAGGTGTCTCTTACCTCTGAGCATGGGAGTGATGATGGTGGAAAGCAAACTTCCAGCATTAATGGCCAAGTAAAAGATGGAAAAAAATCTGTTTCTTTGTTTCTCCTGCAATGTTAAGGAGAAAGTAAGATGGCTTTGGCTGTCTATCAATCAACCGAGCAGAGGTAGCAGGTGATCTCACTTTACTTCTTAGTTTTGGTTGGTATCTTACTTCCTAATGCACTTAAAAAGAATTCGATGGAGAACAGGCTTTGCGCCAGTGGCCTCTGATCCCTGGATGTGTGTAGTTCATTCACGTGGGCTCTGTGGAGGTTCTTGCTCTTACCTGGCCCTCTTCAAACTGATCTCCGCCAAATGCAGACACGCAGGGCTTGATTCCTCCAGTCCCGAGAGCGATCAGGGCCAGGCCGATCATGGACAGTGCCCTGGGAAAGACAGGGTATTAGGGCCAACATGGCAGATCCCCACAAGCAGAAGCCTTCTCTTTTCCCTAGTTTCCCTCAGCGGGCCTGGCACAGTGACACACATAGAGAAGAATGTAATCTCATGGGAAGCCAGCTCACAGGAATGCAGCCTGATAGGCGAATGCAAACTTGAACTCATGGGCCTTCAAGCTCCTGCCCCCATCAACATAAAACAATAGCTTGCAAGCTGAGCAAAGCCTTAGGTATGGGGCTCTTTTGTAGCGTTATTGTTTCCAGTAAAAGAGTGGATAAATGAAGTGTTATTGAACAAATACAAGCATTGTGTCTGGTACACTCATAACAGACTCATGATAGTCATTAAGTAACACTGGAAAACATGATTTCATTGCAAAGCAGAATATCAGGTTAGGCAGTATGACCTCAGTTTGTTTACCAGGTACAAAAAAAAGGAAAGAAATAGACTAAAAGGTTTATTGTTATGTCTAGATGGTGGCATTAAGGGTTATTTAATTGACTATTGTATTTTCTAGGTTATTGCTAAGTATTTTAGCTCCTGAATTGAAAAAAACAATTCATAGCATTTATTGACTCTCACTTTGTAGTTTTATTAAGTTTAGAGGTAGGAACTACAAATTTCTTGTTTTATAGGCATGTATCCCATATCTTCTAGGTTGCTAACGTTGCTTTTAAACACTTACAAAAATTTTATGAACAGATAAAGTCAAGGAAAATATTGCACAAAGAAAGAATTCTTTAAAAATCATTCTTCCTGAACCAATCTTCCAAAATTGGCTGGCCAAATCACCCCTTTAATCTTGTCTGCCTCTTAATACAACTTGCATTTAATGTTGCCAAACTAAGCATTTTAAAAGACAACAAAATCACCGCCAACTGAATATTATATACAATGTATTTATTCTTGTGAGAATTGTAGGTGTGCTCCAGTACGAACTCCGTGAAATGAAAAATAAAAAGCTAAGATTTCTTGAGCACTGATCACCTGTCCGGCAGTGTTCTAGGTGCTTTGCTTGGATTAACCCACAACAGTCCTACATGAAGTAGGTACTATCACAAACAAGGAAACTGAGGCACAGAGATTAAGAAACTTGCTTAAGCCTTACACAACTAGGAGGGGTACAGCCAGAATCTGGCTCCAAAGTCCATGTTCTTAATTGATATTACAGATTAGAAAACTGAGGCGTGGAGAAGAACACCTGCCGAGGCCACAGCGCAGCTCTGTGGGAGGGCTCGCAGCCACTCGCCTCCACCAGCACAGTTCCCTCTGGGCGCCAGGAGTGTGACATCAGGAGATCAGTCTGGACAGCAGTCTCTGCTACGCCAGCAGTGTAGGAATTGCCGATACTAATTTGAGTTTCTATTCTACTCTCCCAGCTCATTAGGTACTTTACTCATAGATCAAGGAACTGAAGCAAAAAACCAGGAAACTGAATAAATCTCTACAACTGGTCTATTAGGCCAGACTGCAGTAAAACAAGGTTAATCCAGCACATGAGCATTTGTCAATAACACCTGCCATCCAGAGCCCAGCACAAAGGGCTGGAACAAATATTTATGAAATGGGATTGCTGAAAAACAGGCACAAGTGTGGTATAAGACAGAAAACCTAAGGTCCTGGAGTCCGGAAGACACCCGGTGGTGTGAAGGATCAAGGTCTGTGGAGTTTATATCCCTCCAGGGAGGTTAAGACCAACATGAATCCCCTGCCCACTGACTGTACATCACGTGGAATGTGACAGTCCATGACAGCCAAACCTCAGAGTGAGCAATGCCTCCAGACAACCACTGGGGTGTGACATCCTGAAGACCCAGCTTAATCCATTTGACAGCCTTCTCCATACTGCCAAAGAGGGAAGAAAAACCTCCTTATTCTCACAGTGAAGTTCAAGGAAAAAGCATCAAAGGAGCACTTGGTGGGAAGGGGCGGGGGGAGGGGGCAGCAGCGAGCATCAACTCACACGTGCACAGGAAGGCTGTCGGGAGTGCCATCATGGTTGTGGTCTGTGAGGTCAGTAATGGAGCTTACTGAGAGGACTACTTGTCCAATTGTGTAGACAATGGAAAGCGACACAATGGTCCTGTGTTTCCAAAGGTGAAGAGAATCCAAGTTAACCACACAATAGCCATCTACTTCCGACTCTACCGCAAGAGACCCCCTCCTCGAAAGCTTTCAAGAGCCCAATCCTGAATACACTTATTTCTTGAACTTGACTAACACTGGTAACTTTCAGGAGGGCACATGGGCAAAAAGAATGGAGCAAAGTTTTGGGCTAGGCATGGTGGCTCATGCCTGTAATCCCAGCACTTTGGGAGGCTGAAGCAGGAGGACTGCTTGAGCTCGGGAGTTTGATACCAGCCTGGGCAACATAGCAAGACCCCATCTCCACAAAAAAATTAAAAATTAGCTGGGTGTGGTGGCGCATGCCTGTGGTCCCAGCTGCTTGGGAGGCTGAGGTGGGCGGATCAACTGAGTCCAGGAGTTTGAGGCTGTAGTGAGCCATGATTGCACCACTGCACTCCAGCCTGGGTGACAAAGCAAGACCCTGTTTCTTAAAAAAAAATTAACAAATTTTGGCTAGAGGGACAGGAGAGGGGAAAGACCCACTTTATCTTTCAAGCATTTGAAAGACTCAATGTTCTGTTTGACCTGTGGAATTCATATTTATATTTTTAAGCTGCGCTGTAGGCTGGTGCAGTGATGTGATCACTGCCTGTCACATGCAGCTCACTGCAGCCTTGACCTCCAGGGCTCAAGTGGATCCTCCCACCACAGCCTCCCAAACAGCTGGGGCCACAGCTATATGCCACTATGACTGGCTAATTTCTTTATTTTGGTAGAGATGGAGTCTCGTCATATTGCCCAGGCTGGTCTCAAACTCTTGGGCTCAAATTATCCTCCTGCCTCAGCCTCCCAAAGTGCTGGGATTACAGGTGTGAACCACACCACACCTGGCCTCTCCTGATTGGTAGTGATATTTGGCTAGGAAGTGGATCTTTGGTAATTTTTGTAGAATTCTTTGGAGGTAGTGACTATTCTTTCTTCTGCCCCTGCTACCGTTTAGATGTCTGTCTCCTGCAAACCTCAAGCTGAAATGTGGTCCCCAGGGTTGGAAGCAGGGAGTGGTGGGAGGAGTTTGGGACACTGGGACAGATCCCTCATGAATGGCTTGTGCTGTCCTCAGGGTCATGAGTGAATTCCTGTAAGAGCTGGTTGTTGAAAAGAGCCTGGCACTTCCCTCCTCTCTCTCTCGTTTCCCCTCTGGCCATGTGATTTCTGCACACACCAGCTCTCCTTCACCTTCCTCCATGAATGGAAGCAGCTTGAGGCTTTCACCAGATGCTTGGTCTTCCAGCCAGCAGAAGCATCAGCCAAATAAACCTTTTTCCTTGATAAATTCCCCAGCCGCGGGAATTCCTTTGCAGCTACACAAGGGGACTAAGACAGCCATGTCATTCCTTTGGCCTGGAAGAGCCTCTACTACCTTCTTCCTTAAGTCCCAGGAAACCTTGCCTGACAGCCTCCCACTGGGCGTGCTTGTGGAGCCCTTGCTGGAAGGCTGGGTGACTTCTCTCCTTGGTGACCTCACACCGTGTGACCTGACGCAGTGCAATTCCCTCAGCAGCCTGGAGGTATGTTAGAGAGTCCCTTCATTTCCCCAGCCCTGAACTCGATGCCTCACACATCACTGATGATAGACAGTATCCCTGCTACTACGTCAAGATGAGACAAAGATGTTATGTTTGTTTGGATTGGGGAAAAAACAAACCTATAGATGCTGTTTGCAGTTGCTAAATGTCAGGCACTGTGGTAGGCTCTAGAGACAGAAGATTGGGCAGAAACAGAGCTGTAAATGCTCTTTAGGGTTTGCTTTTTTTTTTCTTTTTTAATTTATTTTTGGGACAGGGTCTTGCTCTGTCATCCAGGCTGAAATGCAGTAATATGATCACGGCTCACTGTAACCTTGACCTCCAGGGTTCACCTCAGCCTCCCAAATAGCTGGGGCCACAGGTGTATGCCATCACGTCTGGCTAATTTCTTTATTTTTGGCAGAGATGGGGTCTCACTATGTTGCCCAGGCTGGTCTCAAACTCCTTGGCTCAAATGATCCTCCTGTCTCAGCCTCCCCAAGAGCTGGGATTACAGGTATGACCCACACCACACCTGGCTTCTCCTCAGAGTTGATTCATCATTCCAAAATTCCACCCTCCCCAACCACAAAACCTACATTTACTTTTTGGCTTGTCTGTGAACAAGAAATTTCCAGCCACTCACTTGAATTTTCCCAGCCATGAGTCGGCGATGAGAGCTCCGAGAATTGGCGTCAGGTAGCACAGAGCCACAAACGTATGGTAGATGGCGGTGGACAGGTTGTCATCCCAGCGAATGAAATTTGTGAAGTACAGAATCAGGAGTGCTTTTGCAGAGGGCAGGTGGAAGAGGAGGGGGAAACAAAGTGAGGTCTGGTTACGGCCACTCCTGCTCTTCCCCAAAGGGTGAGAAGCAGCCAATACAGTTACCTCGCATTCCATAGTAGGAAAATCTTTCGCAGAACTCGTTGACCACGATGAAGAAGATGCTCAGGGGATAACCAAGGCAACTCTGACAACAAAGAAACAAGCACAGGATTGAAATACACCCCTCACTGGTCCGTAGCCGCAAAGGAGCACCAATGGCATGAAAAGCAGCCAGTGCAGATTCAGTAACTTACCGGTGACTAGAGCAGGAAACTAGAATTCAATCATTTTATTATCTACACTAATGTTTCCACAGAGATAGCCATGAAATAAGCATCTAGTGGTATTGTTAGTCTGAGGAGGATTATCCGCAGTATTTCCTTGGGAGAGGACATCCCACATGGAAACCCAGGATCCCACCCTCACTGGTTCTAGATGCACACTACAGATCTGTTAGGTGAATGAACCCTTAGAGGTAAATCAGATGATGAAATTCACAAGCTGAAGATACGTAGAGAAGGAAAGAGGGTACTCACCCATGACTTGGACATTCCTAAAAGAAAAGCAGAATCCCAATATTAAAGTCAAGCCGTTACAACACTTTTTGCTGTGTCTAAACTCAGAGCCTCTGACTTTTTAGGGTGGTCGGAGGGGCCATTCACCAAACAGCCCCAGCCTCCCTGGGACCCCAGCCCGAAACTCGTGTTTCTTATCGGAAGCAGGGCTTGGCATCTGTATTTTCCTTTAAGAAGCTCCCCGGGCAATTCTCATGTGCAGTCAAAATGCAGAAGCAGCAGCTCAGAGAATCAGGCCCAAACCATTTCCTCCTGAAACACTTCAAAGGCTGCCCGTGGGAAAGAATCCACACACTCTAGCATGTTCTTCACTGTCTCACAGGTGATGGTGGGGATTACATTCCTGCAATGTAAAATGCTTCTGAGTGCCTGACACACTGTGCACACTCAGCCGCCGCCTCCTGCCTGCCTGCTGGGCTAACCCCATGATTTAAGTCTTGCCACTGATATTCCCTTCCTGAATGATCTCTGATGTCCCTACGTCATCACACTGTAGTGATGGGCAGTTTAAATTTTTGCTTCCCTTCTGGACCAGGTTCTGTCAGTGGACGGATCGTGCACTATCCATCACACCAACATCCCCACTTCCACCGTCCTGCACAATACCTCCCGCTCATAGGGGCTTATGTCGGGGGGATGGGTGAGAAGAGCAGGAAGAACCAGCCTGAGAATACAAGGGAGCCGGTGCACGTGAAGTCCAGCGGACCCTCCCATCTGCTTCCCAGGAGTGCCTCATCCCCACCCCGTCAGCCTCTGCTCTTCTGTCTCCCGGAATTTTGACAAGAGCTGAGCTGTGCCCTTGTCTCTCACTCTGCTCCTGCACAAACACACTGCCCTGTGCTCATCCGTGTCTATCACACACTAGGCTGTTTCCCACAGGGCATCTATCCCATTCCCCCTTACCCGTCCCTATTTCCTTATGTTAGGGTTGTTTCTTCCAGGGCTCCCTGAACATGCTCCACCTCTATTAGGAATCTAGGAATTGGTGACCCCATAGCAGTGGGTCTCACAGTGGAGTGTGCCTCAGAGTCACCGGAGGGCTTGCGAGAACAGATAGCTGGGCTCCACTCCCAGAGTTGTTGATTCTGTAGGCCTGAGACGGACACTTGAGCTTGCATTTCTAACAAGCTCCCAGATGTGGGAGCTGCCACTGGTCAAGGCAGTGCGCTTTGGAAATCACTACACTAGAAAATTAATCTTTAGACTGTTCTTTTCCCAGTGTTTGTTCTTTGTAAAAAATGAGTTGACTATAAATGCATGCATTTATTCCTGGGTTCTCTTTTCTGTCTTACTGGTTTATGTGTCTGTTTTTATGCCAGTACCATGCTGATTTGGTTCCTAGAGCTTTGTAATATATTTTGACATCAGGTGGTACCTCCAGCCCTATTTGTTTTTTTGCTCAGGATGACTTTGGCTTTTTGAGGTCTTTTGTGGTTGTATATGAATTTTGGGATTTTTTTTTTCCTATTTCTATGAAGATTGTCATGGGATCTTTTCATTTGCAGTAATACAGATGAAACCGGAGGACATCAGGTTAAGTGAAATAAGCCACAGAAAGATAGGTATCACATGATTTCACTCATATATGGGAGCTAAAAAAGTTGATCTCATGGAGGTAGTGAGTAGAATGGTGGTTACAAGAGGACGGCAAGGGTAGGGGAAGAGGGGAGGATGAAGCAAGGTTTGTGGATGCAAAAACACAGTCCTGTAGAAGGCATAAGAGCTCGTGTTTGGTAGCACAAGAGGGTGACTATGATGAACAATTTATTGTATATTTCAGAATAGAGGCTGGGCGTGGTGGCTCACACCTGTAATCCCAGCACTTTGGGAGGCTGAGGTGGGCGGATCACTTGAGGTCAGGAGTTCAAGACCAGCCTGACCAACATGGTGAAAACACATCTGTACTAAAAATACAAAAATTTGCTGGGCGTGGTGGTGAGTGCCTGTAATTCCAGTTACTTGGGAGGCTGAGACAGAAGAATCACTAGAATCCAAGAGGCAGAGGCTGCAATGAGCCAAGATCACACCACTGCATTCCAGCCTAGGCCACGGAGTGAGACTCCATCAAAAAAACAAAAAACAAAAAGCAAACAAAATAGAAGATCTGGAATGTTCCCAACACAAAGAAATGATCAAGGTTTGAGGCGATGGATGTTCCACATATCCAGATTTGATCACTACACATTGTATGCCTCTATCAAAATATCACATGTATCCCATAAATATGTATAATTATTATGTATCCATAACAACTTTTAAATCCGTAAAGCCCTACGGCAACCCCCATGTGTTGCAAATTGTAGCAGAGTTGCCTATATGAAAAGCAGCTCAACTGGAAGTCAGTGCCGGCCACTGGGGCTGGCGTTAGAGAAGGCAGACTTCTCTGCACCTGAGGTTTGCATCTCTAACAAGAGTCAAGGTGACGTCAATGCCGCTGGTCCGGACGCTGCACTTGGAGGACCACATGCAGGCTGTGATGTCCTGCTGCCTGATGGCTCTATATAAGCGAGTTTTGTCACTTCCCTGGCTCCAAGCACCAGAAAGACCATGCCAGGCATCCAATACAGGAGCCTTACAGCACGCTGAAGCCTCCACCACAAGGCCCACCTCCATCTCCCACACCGTTTCCCTCTGGGGACCTTCCTTGCAGATTTACCGCCTTGTCTTTTCATTATGTGCAAGTTCAAAGCCCTATCCCACAACAAAGGAAGCCACAACCCTGGCAGAGGAACTCCCTTCCTGACCCCGAGCACAGGGCCCTCCAGGCCTCACCACCTCTTCCTGGGCAGGTGCCTTCCCTCCTGATCCCCTCAGCCTGTGCTGGGGTTATTTCCATTCCTGCAGCTCAGCGTGGCCCCAGTGACTCCTACCAGATGGTCTTGCACTTTTGCCCATTTAAGAGCATTTTAGGGCCGGGTGTGGTAACTCACACCTCCATCTGAGGTGGGCGGATCACTAGAGGCCAGAAGTTCAAGACCAGCCTGGCCAACGTGGTGAAACCCCGCCTCTACTAAAAATACAAAAATTACTGGGCGTGGTGGCGGCCGCCTGTAATCCCAGCTACTCGGGAGGCTGAGGCAGGAGAATCCCTTGAGCTTGGGAGGTGGAGGTTGCAGTGAGCTGAGATCCCACCACTGCACTCCAGCCTGGACAACAGAGTGAGACACTGTCTCAAAAGAAAAAAAAGAAAGAGCATTTTAGATGCTATTTTAGTCCTTGTCCTAAGGGGGCATTCACTGTCCTGGTTTCTCGGGACCCCACTCCTAACTTCCTGCCTGTTAGGAGTTCTGGACAGAGATTCCTCCACACAAATAACCCGGTTTCCTCCCAAGACAGAGCTGCCGTGGGATGGGGCTGCTTCCCGGGCAGTACGCCAAGAGTGAGGCCGCGTCCCACACTGACACCTGTGGGCTGCCTGGCGGCCGAGCCCATCTGCTCCGGGGTGGCCCAACAATCCAACAAGGCCGACCTCCACCCTGCAGGGTTGCTGGAAGAGTCCTGCGAACCCCACGGCGCTCAGGGCCTCCTTACGGGGAGACGGACCTCCCCCGAGTCCTCAGGCCCCTGCGCCGCTTCCCGCAGAGCGGAAACTGTTTGTGGAACGAGCTTCCCAAGACCCCGCTTATCCGTCACCGAGCCCCGCGCTCAGGTCAGCTCTGCCCTGTGGGCCGGTGGCCGCTCCAGGCCCGCTCCGGGGCTGACCCCCGGGGATCGCATCCAGGTCCCGGGCCCCAGCCTGTCTTCCATTGGGTTTGGGCCACAGGGGAGATGAGAGGGAAGAAAAAACGCTGGGGTACTTGTTTTTCTGGCTTCCTCCCTGCAAGGTCCCCTCAGACCGTCACCTCAAGTGACAGTCGCGGCTTCTCCGACGTCTCCCTTCCCACCTGACTCTCTCCTTCCAGGTTTCGGAGCGGTTCCTCCCCCTCATCTTGCAGGCGCAGGGGCGGCGGGCAGGCTGCTGCAGGCCCAGGGTCCACGCTGCCCTGTGTGGCCCGTCCCCGCGGCGTCTTTCTGTGCCCGAGCCCTCCCGTGCGGAGCGTGGCTCCCGTGTCCTGGGAGGGTCGTGGTGACGCACTGCACCTGCTGTGGACTTGGGCCGCCGTTCACACCGCGCAGGGAAAGCGCCAGCCTCCAGCGAATAGGAAGGGCTGGTCGGGCAAGTGTGCGTTTTGCAAGCTCGGCGCAAATCAGGCTGCGGGTGCAAAAGCGTCACTGCAGCACGGTGTGTGTGTGTGTGTGCGCGTGTGCGCGCAGTGTGTGTGTGTGTGCGGTGTGTGTGTGCGTGCAGTGTGTGTGTGTGCGCGCGCAGTGTGTGTGTGTGCGGTGTGTGTGTGAGAGCAGTGTGTGTGTGTGTGCACGGTGTGCGCGGTGTGTGTGTGTGTGTGTGCGCTCGGTGTGTGTGCGCGGTGTGCGTGTGTGTGTGCGCTCGGTGTGTGTGCGCGGTGTGCGCGATGTGTGCAGTGTGTGTGTGTGTGTGTGTGTGTTTGTTTTTGAGATGGAGTTTCACTCGTCTGGCTGGACTGCAATGGCGCGATGTCAGCTCACTGCAAACTCTGTCTCCCAGGTTCAAGCGATTCCCCTGCCTCAGCATCCCGAGTAGCTGGGATTACAGGCGCCCGGCGCTGCTCGTTCTTGAGGACATGGCAATACCACGTTATGCTTCGCCTGCTTAGACTTTGGGTAATATGGCCTTACCATTGCCTCCCAAAGCCAACGACAGGTGTGGAGCCACACAAAGGCCTGTCTTATCCCTGGCCCCCTTCAGGAAAGCAGGAGTGAGCACTGAAAACCCAAACCCAGCAGAGAGAGCTCCGGCTTCATGGCAACCCTTTCCTGTGTTCCCCGAAGCTTTATTTACAGGGAAAGACTTCATCTTTCCAGAGTTGTTCTTCTGTCTTTGCTAAATATTTTGTACCTGTTATTTGCTTCATAATAGCGGTAAAACTTTTGTCTACTTCACATGTACTACAGTTACAGA